AGCCTAGCAGTAAACAAACTAGAGATGGCCTTGCTCCAGCTTCAGAGCCTATCAGTAAACAGAATATAGTTGGCTGTACTTCAGCTTCAGAGCCAGCTCCACAGCCTAGCAGTAACAAACTAGAGATGGCCTTGCTCCAGCTCACAGCCTATCAGTAAACAGACTAGAGATGGCCATGCTCCACCTACAGAGCCAACTCTACAGCCTAGCAGTAAACAGACTAGAGATGGCCATGCTCCACCTTCAAAGTCAACTGGCCAGTTTTTTAAGCTGTGCTCTAGAGACAGGCTTACTGTGATAGATTTTGTTTAAACTGAGTAAACAAAATAAATACCTATAAAGGTATACACAAAAAGCATTAAACTCCCCAAATATGTTTTCAGAACTATTTAATGTACCTTTACTATTGATATAATGTGCCAGGAGATAAACACATTTCACCTGTTGAAAGAGCTGTTAATTTATGTTGATTGATAATAAAACCATACACGGCTTCCTAGAATCATGGTTCTAGTATCCACATTAGGAATTCATTCTTAAGACTTATGTGGGGACCAGTACAAACTAGATATCACAATCAATGACATCATACCTAACTCTTTAGATTTTTCTGTACCCATTCTCTTCTCTAAAAATTCAGAAGTGTATAACTTAATGAGAACTTTTTGATTATTTTCAGACCTAATTCAATTAATTGAATAATACAATCTACCCATAAAAGTTTATAAGTAATATGATACACATGAATAGTAAGTTGATCTAATTGTGTGCCTTTTAGTACGCTTGTGTATTTAACCTTAAAGTTGTTTCAAGTTAAAAATCATTCATAAGTTTCACTGTTTTATGTTTGGATTATTTATTAATAACAAACTGTTAATGTATTCATATTAGTTTTAATTTTGTTGAAAAGTTTGTAAACATTGGTATACAAAATGTTAAAATCATACTTCACATCCCCCCTATTCCTTTTGCAGAAAACCCCATTTAATTCTATGAACTGTTCATTCTAAATAACACCATAACAAAACTATAAATAGTACTATCCTAGTTAGTCATACAGTTCTATTGCTCCAAAGCCAAGTAAAGGCAGCCAGAGCTGGAGCACTAATATGGATCAGGGACTCCTAAAGCTGGAGTCAACAAACCTGCAGATAACATGGTCAACAAATATGGTTTCTGAACATTGTATGAAGATATTAGGTTACTGTCTGAAGTATACCACAAATCATTCACTTACCTCAATGTGAAGCCTATTTGTCATAACTTGAGTTTTCAGATAACATGGTCAACAAATATGGTTTCTGAACATTGTATGAACATATTAGGTTACTGTCTGAAGTATACCACAAATCATTCACTTACCTCAATGTGAAGCCTATTTGTCATAACTTGAGTTTTCAGACTTGACACTTATGTACTAACACCCTGAGCGGGAGACAAGCTGACAGGTAATTCAAGACAAGAAGACAAATTAATAAAATCAAGGTAACAAGGCATACCTTGTGAAGAAATAAAACAATTTTTTTTTAATCTTTCGAAATTGCATTATAGTGTACACAATTTTTTTACGAACGACTTATTGAAAACTTTTTGTTGTTATTTCAGAACAAAGCTGCACAATGAGCCACTAGTGCTCTACTCGTTTCGGGAAAGTGAACTCTAGATTTTAGTGTTGCAAGTCTTTCTACCGACCCTCCAGGGACTCAATCACTGGTGAAGACATAATAGGGAATTTTGGAAGTAATCAAATATAACTTACCTTTTCCAATATGTCTCCTTGTGTTTTCAATTGTGGAGTTCCTATTTACATTAGATAGAAGTCCAAGGCAAAATCTGTTGTTGTTATTGGATGGATCTGTGAAGCCATCGATGATGATGCTGTGATGTTGAGCATGAAATACTTCTCCAACGCGCGAGTTTAGTTCATAATATGCAATAGAACACCAGTACTGGGGCTCAGAATACGTGACTGGTGACACGTCTAATCATAAAAAAACTTAAATTTTAATATTTCACTCAGAATATTAATAAAATAGCATGATAACTACATGATCGGTGACATATCTAGTACAAAATTTAATGTTTTACTCCTAATATCACAAAACAGCATAACTATTCTTAACATTTGAGAAATTAATAAACACTCATTATATAATTAAATTATCAATTACACTCAATTCTTATTACAAAACATATAACCTCTCATCTATTATAATCATACTCAGTTTCTGTCTGTCCTGAAAATGTACAAGCACCTTACTATCAAAATGGATATAAACAAAAGGTGGATGTAAATATACTTTAGTAGACATTTTTTACAACACATGTTAAAAGCTTATTAAAGTTTTTAAAAAGGTCCAACGTTAGGTCTTGGAATAACATTATAAGTTTATTTAATAATAGCATCAAGTATAGAAATGTTTAGCCTTAACTCAACTAAAGCAAAAAATGCACACAAGATACAGGGTTGGTTTATCTCTTTATTGAATATAGGCCATACTTAATAAAGGCTTAACTAATGTTAGGCCTAAAAAAAGTGGACTTGCATATTTCAACGTTTCCAATTAGAATTATTTTATATTATTCCAAAAATAATGTACTTAGAGATGTACTGTTGCAATAAAGATACTAATTTAACTACAAATGTTTTGCAGGTCTCTGCTAATTCTAATGAAAACACAAAAACAAAAGGTCATGAAATATTATTATATAGCAATTAAGCAGTTGTATGTATAAATGCTTTAAAAAATATCAATACATAGTACTGAACATGTTACTATTACGTTTTCATGGCTTTTATTTTAAAATAGATAAAAAACAACCTGAAACACAGATGTAAAGCCACAGATACTCAAAAAAATAATATGAAACGTATAATTCAATATTTCTAAAAGACAACCTACCTGCAGGAAATGTGATGGGTTGGTCATCTTAATTTGGAGCCAGCATGCCAAGAAATTAGCAATTATTATATGTGACTAAAAATAATAATTGTGTAACTAATTCTAAAGTTACGATATATGAATTAATATTAATCACCATGGTGATTTGGTACCATCAACAACTTTAATGTCAAACTTATAATATATAAAACATGAAAATTTATTTTTACCCAATAACAGTTTAAATTTTCCACAGATTTCAAGGCAAACAAAATTTTCAACAAAAATGGTTTTCAAGTTCAGAGATAACATTTTTTTCACAATAGCAGCACTTTCATTAAAGGTGTTGAATGTAGTTAGTTCAGTGTAAACACTTTCATTAAAGGTGTTGAATGTAGTTAGTTCAGTGTAAACACTTCTATTAAAGGTGTTGAATGTAGTTAGTTCAGTGTAAACACTTCCATTAAAGGTGTTGAATGTAGTTAGTTCAGTGTACACACTTTCATTAAAGGTGTCGAATGTAGTTAGTTCAATGTAAACACTTCTATTAAAGGTGTTGAATGTAGTTAGTTCAGTGTACACACTTTCATTAAAGGTGATGAATGTAGTTAGTTCAGTGTACACACTTTCATTAAAGGTGTTGAATGTAGTTAGTTCAATGTAAACACTTCTATTAAAGGTGTTGAATGTAGTTAGTTCAGTGTACACACTTTCATTAAAGGTGTTGAATGTAGTTAGTTCAGTGTACACACTTTCATTAAAGGTGTTGAATGTAGTTAGTTCAGTGTACACACTTTCATTAAAGGTGTTGAATGTAGTTAGTTCAGTATACACACTTCCATGAAAGATGTTGAATGTAGTTAGTTCAGTGTACACACTTCCATAAAAGGTGTTGAATGTAGTTAGTTCAGTGTACACACTTCCATTAAAGGTGTTGAATGTAGTTAGTTCAGTGTAAACACTTCCATCAATTTCCAAGCTTCGACAGCAATCAAAGTCATTAACAGATTATCTGAAAGCTCAGATGATTTCCTTTCTCACAATCTATTTGCCATAGAGCTGTCTCAATTCCTGGTATTGGTTGTACATGTATAAATATTTATTTATTACATCAGAAGACCTTCTAGATTGCACACCTTTAAATAATGTAGTTATATTATATAATGGCTGGAGACGGCTTGAATGGTTAATGAAGAAA